TGATTAATTTTATGTCTTTTTAAAATGTTCCTGATCTTTTCCCTCACATCCGAGATTTTCGTTTTGCTATCTTTATTAGCATGAGGAGGTTGTCGTTTGTTCATAGCATGTTTATTAAGACATTTGGAAGCTGCGTGACTTGTTGCATCTGTAGTGGAACAAATTTCAGGAATGGGTTTAATGTGCGAACTTATGTTATCATTTTCGATGTTAACTGTAGTAGAGGTTGATTCGATGATATTGTGATGTATAAGACAGTTGTTTTCGCTGTTGTAGTACTTTGGAGATGTAATCATTTCTCTATTTTTATAGAGATGGTGTCATCAAATAGAATAAAAAGTTTGTTCAAGGAAAGCCAATGTATTCAAACACGCTTGGTTGGAAAGTTTAGTTGTTACCGCAAAAACTAGGAGAACCTTTAGCTAGTAGGTTCAAAGAGGACATTGAGATCGCTAGGTCATTTTCTTCTGTTATATATATATATATATTTGCTGTTGTCACGTTTTTTTTTGGTCGTTATTAACATTTGGGATGGAAGTCTCTGATTTGGTCGTTCATTCATTATATATACTTCTCCATTTTTTGTAAAGCGAAACGTTGAGTGTCCATTCAAAGAACGAATAAATTTGATGTTCTAAAGTCATTTATTCCTAGAATTGAAATATATTTTATACTCCAATGTGCACTACAGAAATACAGTAGTTCTGTATGTTATAGTTAGCATTTATCAGAACTTTGGTTATTCTCAAGTAACGAAAATAAAATTTACATATTACAAGATTGATTAACAAAACACCAATGCTACATGATCAGAGTATGTATAATTCTTTCGCTATTGCTTTATTGTCTACTAGATATGTTCTTTGGAACAGTTTCAGCAGTTTGGTTAATTTTGTTAAGAGCTGTAGAAACTACACGTTTTAAGTTTTATTATTTTACTTGTATGTTAATATTTCATTTATTTACTTTTGTTAGGCATATTACCGGTAGCTCAGCGGCAATTTAAGGGATTATGATGCTAAAATTCGACGTTCAATCTCTGCGGCAGACAAAGCACAGATTGTCAATAATGTAGCTTTGCGCTATAACAAATAATTAACTTTAGGCATAAAATTATGAAATTAGGCTATGTTTATTCTCTGTGTTCTTAAGGTAAAATATTTAGCTTATAATGCGTTATGCAACACTTGGGCCTAGTGGTTAGCATACAGTACTGTGAATCTACGGCCCAATGGTCGCGTCCCATTACCACAGAACAAATAATAAAATATAGCACTCCATACTGTGGGGCCGTGGGTGTGTTACACAGGTGACAGTCAAATCCCACTGTTCGGTCATACAAGAGGAGCTCAAGAGTTGGCAGTGGGTGTGTTGAATAGATGCGTTATTTTATATATCTGTTAAATCAAAATTCGGGTGGTTAGCGCAGATACCTGTTGAGTAGCTTTTCCGAAACAAAAGGAAACAGTTACTTACTAAGTAAATAACACATTTTTATGCTTATCTGTCACACAAAAATATTTAAACTGATTGGGCGATTTTTCGAAATATACTTCACTCTTTTTTTCATGAATTTACCCACGATTTTATAGAGTTGAAAGAGACATGTTTATGTCCTAAAGTCTGATGGACATGGATAATACAAATTATTTATAATTTATGTCTTAAAGTTTGATGGATATGGATGATACATGATGGACATGTTTACATTTTAAGCAAGTAGCACATAACTTTTTTATTAGTAACAACTAAATAATATTGGGTATTTCTCTGCAATTATTTACGAAGTAATCTGTTTTGATTAACTTTCTGTAGCCACCTTTGTGGTGTTCACACTTGAAATATTGTAATAATAATTCTGCATTCACTAAAGAGTCCGAGTGGCTATTTTAATTTTAACATATATGAGGACTAGAATGACTGAAGAAATTATTTTTATGAATAGATTTAGTGGTTATGTTACTGTGCTGAGCTACAAATTCGAGGAGCAGTGTTTCGCAGTTGCTGTAAAATTAAGCTTCGCATTTTGAGTCTGCGAGTGCATTATGAGAGTAACGGTCAAATTCCACTATTTGATTAGAGTAATCAACATTTGGCGGTAGACACAGTTGACTTCCTTTCCCTCTTGTCTATCAGTTCAGTGACAGCTAGCGCTGATAACCCTTCCATAGCTTTAATAAAATATCCGAGAAAACGAAAAAAAAACAAAAACACACACACCCAAACATATAAATTGTGATGTTCCAAACCTTTCATATAATATTACCTTGGAAACATGCGGGGCCCATTTAAAAAAAATCAATAATGATCTTTAAATTTTAACTTAGATTAGAACATTTTTCAGATTTGCCGAAATGGCATAACCTTTAATAAAATCTAATGCAATTTATGAATTCAAATGTCTAGGATTTAATTCTAAGTATATTGGACCAACGTAAAACACTCGTAAAATAATAGGCACATTTTTCGATAGAAGACAAATTAGTATACTTAATCATGCTGTCCGTGAATGTGACTTTCCGGTACATCATAACTTGTACGAGATTCTTTCAAAAGGGAGTGATTAGAGAAGATTTTATATAAAGAAGACTTTATTGATTAATAGATTGAGGCACAGAACTTAATGAAATAAGTTTTGCAATTAAGCTACTATTAAGAATATAATAAAAACTTGTCTACTTTTATTATTGGAAAGGTCGTTCATTGGCTCTTAAATATGGAATATGTCTTTGTTATGGTAGGTTTCTCTTTTTAATTCTTTTGTCCATAATTTGTGGAAAAAATTAAAAAAAGACCTAAATTATGTACCTTTAGAACACCAAAGCTAAAGTGGCGTAATCCAGTAGTATGAGCATTTTTGTATATTCTTGATATGCCGAAAATGGAATTAAGATTTTACAGCCTCGCAGAAGCATGCCTTTTTAGCCTATTTCAAAATCTATTACATAACATACTGCACACATATTTGTATTGATGTGAAATGAAAAAACAAAATTCTTAATGTATTTTAGTTTCCTTCTCACCAAAAACATTACGAGTTGAAATGTGATAAATATTTCAGCTTTTGTTCCAATAAAGCGAAAAGCTTCTTTAAAATTTCCTGACAGAAATAATAAATAATCCATTTTTGTAGTACATTGATCAACACCAGAATTATGACAGATATTCTTGATATAAATAATGTATGTCAAATAACACTTCAAACACTATAAATCTATCTTGGTGTGAAAATAATGTCTAGAACAACTTTGTTTTGATGGAAACAGCTATTAATATTTCTTTAGTATGGTATTATCGTGTTTTGTAAAATTGATATTGATCTACTTTCCTGAACTTTTGTTCGTTTTTATATGTTTGAAAAGGAATGATTAGAGACAGAATTTACTTAAAAAATCATATATGATATACCTACAACAAAAAAGCACGTGTTATTCTTTCCGATTTATAGCTGTAACCATGTATCTATAGGCACTACAAGTCTGCATACAGAGCACTCTTAATATTCCTTTTGCATGATAATGGCTCTCTTTTCTCCTGCAACGCCCAAACAAAGAATGTTTATAACATCAGTTCTGACTTAACTTACAGTGGAACGAATGCACAGTTACACGCTTCGCCTTCAAAGAAATTGTTTCATTGTGATCTAAGCGAATTTGGTCTATTCCCTACTCGTCGTATTTACAGTGAAATCTAAAATAAAGCGCTCAATAAATCATTGTAATATTATTAATAAAACAACACAGTACAGTCTTATGCATTTAAAAAGTATCTGACGCCTTGCCCCAGATAGGAAAAACAAAATGTATGCTTGTAATTTTTTCCCTCTCAGATGTTAGACATATACTTTAATGAGAGGACTGTAATTATCATCTTCCAGTAATTAATCTCAACTCTTTCGTCCATAATATGGAGATGTTTATTCAGTAGTAACTATTTAAACTTGGATGAACCTAATACTGGAATTTCATGCGCGGAATTTTATACATATTGTACATTGTTAAAGCATATAAATTTGAATATTAGTGTCAACTTGTCATTATTGAAACTGTGTGGTTATTTATACTAACTGTGAAGTTAAAATATACATTACTACCGTATGATTCTAATTATTTCTATATGTCGTTGAAATTCTATAATAGTTTTTTTTTTGTACTGCGCGTTTAAAGAACACACATGTGCTTTTTATACTGTATCAGTTTGTTCCAGTGATTATGCATGTTGCTGGAATTACGATTCAAATAAATTAAATATTTGGTTATAACCGTTTACCATTTTGATAGCTTTGATCGTCTGATGCTAATTTCTATCCCCAAATGATGTGAAGCTAGAAAAGGGTACAGATGCTTCAGTTTTATTCTGGGGTGCATCTGAAACCGAAGTTTCACAGCAAACTTTCTCCAATTTTAATATTTCATAATCAATCTTCATAGCATAACCGCTTTTATATTAAATTTTCAATATATATATATATATATATATATATATTGTTTTATGTCGTTTTTGTTATGTACGTGCTAAATGAAATAAAAGCAGTATATATATACGTCTGGTTCACGTGAAGTTCGTTATGTAAAACTAATTGCATGTGTAACTATTTAAACAGTGAGAACCTGTAGCCAACTTAAGTGAACTATACTCAACGCATATTTCGACAATTATTTTCTATCATAATGTTTACAAAAAAAAGAAGACATTAATTTCAAATAACCTTTCCTCAGCGATTGATTTCAATAAACAGAAGTAAAGATTTAGTTGAAATCTTAGCACATAATATTGTTAAAATATCGATTCTTACATAAACGTAGAACTGTACCTTTAACTTTATTTAGTATCTACACATTAATGTGTTAAGGAGTATTTCTCCTGAACATGTCGAACAGTTAAACTTCATAGCCAGATGACTTACATCTATATACAAGGTACTCATTAATCATAATGTCGAATACAAACCAGACATTTTAATCTTAAACATACTATTGATACTGACACATTGCCTGTACCTCTTACAATCAATCTGCCCGAGATGGCGCTGCTAACACTTCGATCAGCGAGGCGGTCTGTCACGTGGCACTTATAACGCCTGATAGAGTCTGAAGTTTGTGTATTTCGAATATGGAGGTCTCCACTAGGAAAGAAGATATACTTGGAATCTGAATCTGGAAAGAAAGTTACAGTCAAATTTAGAGAACTGGCTTCAATCTCACTTCGTCCTGATATAAAAATATAGTTTAACATTAAAACATAATAATACATTATAACATTATAATACAAATACACTAATATTATTTAAAACCACTCGCTTTCATCCTGAAATTTTAATCCCAGATGCTTCTTATTCAATCAAACAAAAAAATTATATAATTACAATTACGATTTAAGTCATTTATCTAGTTAATGCAATTTTAAAACCAAATAAATCTGACAAATATCATTTTTGGAAATCATATATCTTTATAAATTTCCATTCCGTACGTTTTTTGGTTCAACAGGCATAATTATGAATAGAAACAGACAGTCACATTAAATCAAATATAATATTTTCTAGAAGATGTATTTTCATTTAGTTTTAACTAAAATCCATGTGAAACGTTGCTGTTGAAACTGTTCTAGAAGATTTATTTTCATTTAGCTTTAACTAAAATCCGTGTGAAACGTTGCTGTTGAAGCTGTTCTAGAAGATTTATTTTCATTTAGGAAATTAACAGAAGCACAATTTCTTTATCTTCGGTTCTCGTAAGAATGACTTTTCAACAGCAACGTTTCAGAGCTTATTTGTTAGCAGGTATATTTCTGTCAATTGTTGAAGTATAGCTTACTAACGGTTCTGTGTGTGCAAGCAAGTTATATTGCTCAAGAGTGTTAACAAAAAATTATGAATTATATTTTTGAACTATAAAATACAAATGGATATTTTGTTTGATTGTCAAAACTACATGAATACGTTGAATAAGCATGTTAGAAGAGTGACGAGAAGCTAATACTAAGTTTAAAATAAAAGGAAAACGAAACAGTTACTACTTGGCGTACGTCTTCAAATATCCCAAATTAACACTTACTTGTTTGTTTCTTTGTTTTGTAATTAAGCACAAAGCTATAGAATGGGCTGTCTATGCTCTGCCCACCACGGTTATCAAAATAACACTTACTTTAAAATGTAAACAAAACTCAAAGTACATATAAACTGATAAAACTGAAAGAAATATTGGTAACTAACACAAATACTTTTTATGTAGTTATTGTATCACTAATCAAAGTATCTATCAAGACTTACTCTTTCGAAAATATTTTACTGTTTTCTGAGATGTTTATAAAAACATTTCTATATTTCAGCCTCATTACTACAAAGTGTCTGCATGCAATACGGAAAATGTGTAGTAATCGAATATTATTAAGTTAGACACAATTAAAATTAAACACGCTGAAACATAGAAACGATATGCAGCTCACAAATTAACGAGTAATCGAGACATTCAGTCGAGGGGTTGGAGAGTAATTTAAAGTGAAGAAGTAAAAATATATAGATGAATACTTTTACTGATTTGAAGTAAAAATTTTACTGTAGGAAACTGTCGGTAATGTTAATAATGAAAATAATAATTTCACTCTAATAGAAATTCTGAGGTAAGCGATGAACAAATAATCATTAAGATGAAGATCTTCTGCATGATAAAAGAGCTCAGATTTCATGTTGCTTGTTTACCGACTAAAGCTTTGCATGATAATAGAGCTAAGATTTCATGTCGCCTGTTTACTGGCTAAAGCTCTGCATGATAAAAGAGCTCAGATTTCATGTTGCCTGTTTACTGGCTAAAGCTCTGCATGATAATAGAGCTCAGATTTCATGTTGCTTGTTTACTAGCTAAAGCTCTGCATGATAAAAGAGCTCAGATTTCATGTTGCTTGTTTACCGACTAAAGCTTTGCACGATAATAGAGCTAAGATTTCATGTTGCCTGTTTACTTGGCTAAGACAATTCACGATGCACATTTTATAAAGTTACACTGAAGAACAACATTTCATTTAGAAGGCTACATAAGAACTCTTCAAAGAACAAACTAACATATTTCAGCACCAGAATATAGAAGAGAAGCAGATGATTATACTGCACTCTTGCATGACTATAGATAAAAATAATTCTTACCAAGGTGCTATATAATGAGAACTACTACCTTTCCTTCCTGTCCATCGTTTCTTATAACAGCACTGTAGCAAATTTTAACTCAAAATAACTTAGAATAACTATATGAAAAAAGAGTAATACCTGGTTTGTTGTTAAAAACAAAGTTACACAATAGGTTATCTGTACGTTGCCTACAGCAGGTATCGAAACCTAACTTTTAGCATTAAAAGTTCTCAGCCTTGCCGCTGAACCACTAGGGGCAGTTATAATGCGTATACCAAGGTACATACTCTTTAGGTTATAGTGAGTTAATGTACTAAAGTACCACAAATACTGTATACAGAGGTAGAGCATGTTTGGAGTCTCAAAAGTCCTTACAGCCCGTGTTGCTTCGTCTGGTCATTCGCTATCTGATGATTTTTCTCTTTACCATAACCCTCCAGCGTAATTTCCATTGTAAGCTTGTCATGTCAGAAAAATATAACTCCTTTTTGCTTGCTTTCCATAATCTATCTAGTTTACAAAAATATCGGTTTCAAAGCTCTCGTTTCAACAGTTCGAACGCACAGAAATCCATAGTTATGGTATGTCTGGCGACTTGGGCGGTATTTCTTTGTATGCAATTACACAAATAACCATTTCATCCTGCAGCTGCTTGTGGCATGCAACATTTGAACGGATAAGTCATAGAAACAACTTGTGTCACTTTTACAGACGGCGATCCTTCTTGATTATGTTGCATACTGTTGCCTGGCGTACGTTAACGGTTTGACCATTAAACCTTGTGTTCGTGGATTCTCAGCCGTTGAAAGACGTCTCACTTTGCTTATTTTTGGCAGTTCTATTTCTGAAATGTCCTAGTGTTACAAGTTGGTCTACATATAAGTCTACATATAAGGGCTATCTCCTTTTTGGAAATTCTAAATCTCCAATTTGAACACATCCTTATGATCGGAGTGTATGAATATCATGCATCGGAAAGGATTGTTACATACCCATTCCAAAAGCAGTTAGTTTTCGGTGGCATCATACTACTTACCAAATTTCTAAATATGGTTCTGATGAATGCCGTTTCACTATAACTTTATATCGACAGGGGACGTAATGTAACTTGTTGATTTTGATATTTAAAGTGGTCTGTGTAAAAGATGCAGTCGTATTTTAAATCGTTAATGTTTAAGTATAAAGATTGTTAAACTTTGGCATTTCTTTGGCATTACTGTTTTTCTTTTAATAATTGGCTATAAATCAAACAATTTTAAACATGTGCTTTTACCCGGAAAGTAGGTTATAGTCGCTTTAATGAAAACAAAATACTCGAGCTGTTTATGAAAATTTTAACTCGGGTTTAACGTAAAATTTAATATCATCAACCTTGCATTATGCATATTTTTTACGGGAGCTTTAATATAATTGATGATCAAAGTCGTTAAAGCACTGAACTATATTTCCCTAAACCCTTGTGTTGAATGAAAATAATTGAAATTTCAAGCGAGAAACATCTGTCGAGGTAATGTTTCTATTAGTATATTAACGTGAAAAATCAATCAACATTTTCAAAGTTACTACTTTAACTCGTTGTCATGGCGTGAGTATGTTTTCGTGTTTTGAGTACTTTTCTCAATAACGATTGCAGCTGGATATATAAAACCAGCTCAGAAACTTGCTGTTTGTGCATAAAAATAACATAATCGACTTTCCTTATTATAAGAAAAACATATGCATCAGTTAAAACGTAATTGAAAACTTTTTTGGTTAAATCTTTAACTCATTTTGTCTGCTCATGAATGCTTTTTCAATGAGTAGTGACTGATTAAAATTTCAACTGAAATTGTAGAGTTTCAGGGTTATACATATATATGTTTTAAGAAATACTGATTTTTGTAATTAACCTGTAACGCAGAAAAAAAGAATTGAAAAGCAAGGTATTCATTATTTTATGATGCTTGTACATTAAGAAACTTTCAAGAACGAAATAAATAGAAAATACAGATTCTCAATTGGTATTCAGTGTTATTCTTTAGCTGATGTCTACTTCCAATATACTTACTATCTTCGGTTATTTAATTATAAATTCTTTTTTATGTGTAAAATAACTTGACGATTGGAAAGTGCAAACTAGTTATGACTAACAAACTTTGGGAAGTTTAATTTCGGCATATTTGATAGGTTTTCTGGAGGAATGAAATAGATTGTCAGTTATCATCCATAATCCACAACTAATAATACCAATTTAGTTGATAAGTTTCCTGTTATTGGTACCCTTTGTAGAAATGAAATAGGTTGTAAGCTAGTAACTAGAATCCACTAATAACACCAGTTTAATTGACAGGTTTCTATCACTGGTACCTTTTGGTCAAATGAACTAGGTTGTCAACTAGTAACTAGAATCCACTAATAATACCAGCTTAATTGATAGGTTTCATGTTGCTGGTACCATTTGGAGAAATGAAATAGGTTATTTACTAAAGACCCGGCAGGTATGAAATTGTTGGCGTGGTGCAACTAGAGCAATAAACGAATATATTCTATATCGTTTTAAGGAGTAATAAATGTTTCTAACATACTTGAGAAAACGTGTGAGCAAGGACTTAATTTACTAATTAATAGAATATTTTCAGTCTTTCATAGCTTAGCCCCCGTTTTAATTAATTTTGGGACCTATCAAGTTTAAAGTTTATAGGAAATGTAAAATATTACATTATATAATTTGTATTGCGTGTGTCAAATCGAGACATGATTTTTATAATAAAACTTTAAAAAATAAAATATACATATTACTAAGTGCTTTAAAAGAAAATGTATATAAGTACGCGTTGTAGATAATATAATATTTGTTTCATAGTATGGGTGAGTCAACCTTATGGATACTTGACAAAAACCAGACGTGTAATTCATGCCCTCACGAAACATGTTTCTGACTTAAATGATGTATCCTTACATTTTTAATTGTCTTCGTGTATTTTTTTAGAATAATGTTTGGTTACTCTGTTATTAAGTCTTGGTTAATTGTTAAGCGCAAAGTTAAACAATGGGCTATCAGCACTATTCCCACCGAGGTTATCGAACCCCAGTTTTTAGCGTTATCAGCCCTTAAACTTTCCACTGAACCACTGAGGAGGCGGGAGGAATATTAAGTCCCATTAATTATGCGTCTCTCCGTAAATCAGTTTTATATGTGTAGTACACGACTAGTATTTCAACTAACATGATGAACTTCTGATACTTATTTATGTTCAGGAATGAAGTGCTCTTTGTGACTGTGTATGTGTCTTATTTGTGTATGTCATGATAAGGTAATAAAAATAAATATGTGTGTCCTGGTCGGGTACATTTCACCTTTGCAGTTTTGTTTTCAAATATTAATTTTTGGAAATGTTTATTTTCTAAAAATATTATTTGCACTTAAATACAATTATTAACCAGAGCAATCTATCCATATATGGTAATGAATAGTTATATCAATCTTAATTACGGAATACTGACACGACATCTTGGGTTCTTATAGTGTTGTAGTTCATTAATTTATTCCATAGTTAGACTCTCATTTTACTTAATTCGCCTATGCCTTTTGTAGTTGTTTAATAAATCGAAATAATCTACTTGAATGAGCTAAGAAGCGCTATATCTCATTAGCAACATCGCAGTAGTCTTATCTAAGTTAGGCCTACTTAGCATGTGTACTGTTTTATGTCGCAGTGAAACAGAAAACCCTTTATGGAATCTCATGTTTTTTCGATTTTAATTAAGCCGGTAAGAAAACAATTAAAAAAGTGAATTAAACTTCCGAATGACATATTTAGCTTTGTAACCATAATATAATAATTACCGCTAAGAATTACATTTTCAGCTACTTAAATTTATCGTACAATAACCGATCTAATTGAAACTGTGACTGACAGCTTCTAATTGTTAAAAGTTTCAAAGCAGAAAAGGAACAAAAGAAATTTCTTCTTTCCATAATGAATGAACTGTATTGCTCAATAACATGAAAGCCATTGCGGTTTTTCAAGTAAAAAAGTAAAGAAAACTAATTTAAATTTTAAAACTTATTATACAGAATAAACCTTTGTTTCTCTAAATACTTTACATCATATTTAGTAAACTTTAATCTTACCACGAGGAAAAGTAGTGTATTATTTCAAAATAAATCAGATCATTTATAAAGAACTTCCAAATTCAGGATATTAGAAAAACAATAACCAGCATTTTAAGCATGAGGAGTACTTTCTCTTAGCGAAATTCTTTGTTGGAATTAATCATTTTTATTTGGCTCCAAACATTCGTGAGATCTTAAGATCTGAACTTCAGATATCAAAATTGTTATCATATCACTTTCTGTTTTATGAAATATACGTATTATAAAATGATAGGTTATCACGAAGAAGAACTACGTTATTGGTAAGGGTGTTCACTATTTAATATATAACCTGTTTAAAAAATTTTGTTTACGGGAGTTTGCAAGATAACTATATGGATTCAGATTAAAGTAAAGTTACTTATAAAATTATCTAGTTCAGCTATTTTCAAGAGATTGTCATGCTTTTTGTTTATATTTGTTCCACAATGCTTCCACACCAAGTAAGCTTCATTGCTCAGAGCTTTAGATTTCCAAGTTCGTTCCCCGCGTGTAGATAGTCCATTATGCAGTTTTGTTCTAAAACAAACCAAAACCTTTTTTGTTTGCTGTTTGTGACCAACACAAATTTGGACTATTATTTACTGTTACACGTTGTTCAAGACATCACAATGAACAAAGAGAGCTAGCAAAATGTTGAGACTGTGTGAATATAATGGGGGTGCATTTTGGTCCTGTAGAAGAGCTGGCGAACTTGGTTGTAATCCGTGCAATACAACAACATATTCCTTGCCTTTTAAGCTGTGGGTGTGTTATAAGATTGGCATTCAACCTCTTAGAGTGGATTGTTGGTACTAGGGTGCTGCTGACTGGTCAGTAGTTCAAAATTAAGGACAGCTGCAGATGGCCTTAGTAACTTTGCAATAAATAGAAAATACAAATAAATAGTATACTTTAGAGGTTTTTTTTTGTAATGTTTATACATATTTAGTTTTGTTATATTTATATTATATATTATTATGGTCAAGCACATAACATTGAAAGTCTAAAAGTACTTGCCGTAAGAATGCAATGAAAAAATCATATGACCATCATCACGTGTCCACGACGTTATAGTAGTGTAATCCTTAAGGTAATTTGGAACGTGGCATTTGAGGACCCCAGTATTTCCACGTATAACATCTCCATTATGGACCTGAACTTTAAAATCTTGATAGATGACTTGAAAAAACAAAACAAAAACATGTTTATTATAAAATTACTCTCTTAAATTGTAAAGAGAAAGTATGTCTATAGTTATGTAAAAATTACACAGTATGGTGAAATATTTCAAGAAGTCAAAATAGAAAAAAGTAAACGTGAATAGAAAATTATAAAAAACTTATGTTAGAATTTTTATAAAACTGGCATTTCACTGAATAAAAATGAACTATATGAGTTTAAAATGCATATTGATTCAGAAACAATTAAAGAATGGAAAACTTCAAAATCCGATGTTTCGTAAGTGATGTTTATAACAGTTAGAGTTCATAATTCCTAATTTTTCTATAGAGTTTTACTAATTAATTTGGTAGAAACAACATCTAGCTCTTCACAGCTTGACAAAGACAATCGAAACCTAAGTATAAAGTATACCAAGATGTAGATCTGTTATATTGAAACAAAAAAATGAAGATTAATGCAGCAAAAATGTCGTCTAGGCTGCATAAAACAGTCTGAACTCCATAATATATTATTTGTGATCCCCACAAGTGAAAAAACAAAAAAACAACGACCGCACTATTTGTAATGACCACCAAATGAATTAACAGTTTTCAATTATGATATATACACTACACAAAACAATTTAAAGGACAATGGGAATATAAAACATTGAGAGAAAGCAAAACCACTGCTATATCAAATTTCATTCAATCCCTATAGTTATTTTTGTTTACTAATCTGGAACTTGGTAAATCATCACGTGATTCAATCTACGCTGGTAAATGAGCATTTGCATGGCAGGATGCACCTAACGTCATTACTTTTACAGTATTGCGCTTCAAGGTAGAATACTGCCACCATGAACAGCATCGATGTTTAATGCTTAAAATAAGAATATTATAAAGCTTGAAATGTTCTTGACCATTCCTCTGACAATAAAGTTTTCCATATAGAATAGGCATACAAAGAGTATTCATATGGACCACACCTTAGGAAAAAGTTTGTCTCGGAGAATGTGACTATGAAAAATAAAACAAACGCTTTGAAAGTGTGTGAAAAATAGTATTTGAGTTATAGAATGCACTCGGAAAAATGATGGTATTTTGGAAGAATTTACTTGTGATATCAATAATTCCAGAAGGTTACATTTACTTTTCCCCCCTAAGGAATATGATAAATGTAATTTGTTTTGTAAAATACATTTATAAAAATATTATTCCTTCTAATGGATAAGTTTGAAAGGTAACGGAATCTTGAAGAAAACACTTGAAAAATCACTTTTAATTTCATGAATACTCAATTGGGGAGGGATTCCTTAGAACGAATGTTACGAAAATATTGTTTTGAAAAGTATGTGGAAAGCAGCATGTAGAAAAATCAAATGGTTCCAAAAGATGTACTCTAAAAATGGTATAACGTCCTTAAAAACTTTTCCTAATTAAAATTTATACTTTTTGATACAACACTTTAAAAGAAAGAAAAACTTTAATTTTCACAATCTGATATTAAGGACGTAATTATTTCCCAGAAACATATTTGATCAAATAATAACATTTTCTTTTTAAAGAGCCCTTAAAAAATCACAGTGTTTACTTCATTTTACTCAAACAAAACTGTTTTAACGATAGAAACTAGAAAATATCAGACTGTTAAACTATTAATACGGTTTAAAAGAAAAAATCAATTAACTTGAAAGGTATTTGTGATTAAACCTGAAGAAGACAAGATTACATTTTTCTTTTTCCTGAAAATCCACGAAATGCTCACGTTATCTTTTTTTTTTTTTTACAGCAGAAGGCACAATTTTGAAGTCGGTATAAACTATTTTGTTTGATATTTCGGTTTTATTGATTGAATATAGTAGTATGTTAGTTTTCTCAAATCATACTTGTGCTATCAGTGCACACAAAAACAAAATTAGAGTTTTCCAGAAAATAATTTATCAGAGTAGATTTTTCTAAATTATAAAATAAAGTAGCAGTCTTGATAAAAATATTTCCATATCATAAAATGCTTCTATATTTTTATCATAAAGATATATATTTCATCATATTGATATATTTTAAAAAGGGTTATTACCAATTCTGGAGAAACGATTTGATGAGATTATGCACATAATCTTTTAACATCTCGTCAGACAGGAATAATTTGTTTAGTAGGCAGTAACTTCATTCACGCTGTGTAATAAACTAACCATTTAAAGTAGTCAGGAAAGGTAATAAGAAATTTGGTAAATAAAGCACACTGTTTATCTTTCCGAGGAAAATGAATTTTATTTCTGTAGAATGAAAAAATGCAATTAATGAAAGATAGTAGACATCTAAAAATTTGATATAAAATACATTTCAAACAGGTAGTACTAATATTTGTTTACGTATTCAGAAGAACACTGACACAACACGAGCAGGTTTTTGCATATTCATGTCATCACATGGCTTTGTCATACTTAAAAAATATTTTCAAGAAAGAACTGAAACAAGAGTGTTTAAAAAACTTCTATTACACATTACTGAATGGGAGATCAATTACAATAGACTTACTTGATCAGCGTCTAGCTGGAGAAAGATATAAAGTTAGCATTATCTAAGATCATATTTGCAAAAAGGTTATGATTGTGAAAGGTAATTCTAAACATGTAACGCCTCCAACTGAAGAAGTTTTAATGGGTTTCTTAATCATTCTGAAAACTGAAGACAAAAAGTTACTTCAAACCAGGATTTTTATGAATAATGTGTAAAAAGTAAATTTTAGTGGAAGATGTTTTTCATTGCACGGTAATGACAGTTAATAAATATAACAGCTCTACAATAAATGTTAAGTTTTTGATAAATATTTACACATGTATTTTTACAGTAGCGAAAAGCTATACAGCAATCAGAAAAAGTCGAGACTGAATTGACTTTATAGTTTTCATTTTTATAATCTACTTGACTTCAAATTATCTCAAGTAATCGTTCTGATGAATCAGAACTATCAGTTTCAGTTGATATGAAACCAGAATTACTTTAGTTTACCTTACCTAGTAAAATGCATAATTACCTTGCCTCGAGTATCATATGGAATATATAAACATATAGTGTAGTAGTCCTATCTATCGTGTTTTACTACAGTGTAATGTCGTGCTTGACCTAATTCATTGTTGTTATTCTACGAGGCATGGCCCCATCTAAGTCCTGACAGGGGCCTTTTATACTTTTTTACAAGTACAGTTTGAAAAATTCAGTCAACTGATGACGATAGAAATGCTATTGTTTTAAATATTTGAATTAACACCTACTAATGGCCTCAAAGACATTCTGTAGAGGTAAAATTTGATCTATTACTGTGTGCATTTCAAACATATTGTAAGTACATGGTACCTTGAAACAAACGTGTGTTGTATATTCATTGTCAATATAACATATTTACTCAGTAAAACCAATCACATTATAATACGTAAGACATTATATCGTTCAATAAAATTAGGAGGTTTCGATAGTTATGGAGCTAATGATGTTTTTCCACATTACTCGATGAATGCTTTATAAGGCTCACATTTAAGTAATGCTAGCTAATATGTAAAATGAGACATAACCGACAAAGCCACATGTTAGGACTAGGTAATGTGAAATAACAATATGCTTTTAAAGACAAAAGAAATATCCTGTTAAACATGACGGTATCATTCAGTACAAATACCATTAACAGCACTATTATTCTAAATGCCGTACACCTAATACTTCTTTCCAGATGAAAACGAAACTTACAGACATGACTTAAGCTAAGCTCCTCCTTCAAATCCCACTACAGGTGTATCTTGCAGCAACCCAGACTATACACGTCCTAAAATTTAAGACTGAACATCAGGTCATTGAACAAAATTCATACAGGATGTGTTATATTCCCAAATCATATCAAGTTGACTATTGTACTATTTGAAGCAAGAACCCAGTTATTTGTTATGCGCAGTGTGTTGAGCTCTAGTGAGGCTCAGTGCTGCAAAAGTCACATGAACAGAAAGCAGTTTGTAACCGACTTGTGTCAAATGATCGATTCAAAGATGAAAGAATAAACAAATTGAAAGAAAATGTTGAGATCGAAATTTTGCAAAACATACGTCCAGCAGCAAAAACATCAGGAAGAACTAAGTTTGATAAGTCTGAAAAACGAATTTATAGTGAGTACTTAGATTTGATTGATTTGGCCAAATCTTGGTTTGATGAACTGTATTCCAGAATTTCAGTTCGAGGATTGCTCATGTAATCTCTGAAAACTTTGTACTGCGTAATCCAAGAGAATTCCTTTTACAGGTTTAGTTTTGCTAGTTATGAAAGTGAACAATTTGTGTTTCCCTTTATCTAGTATCAGATTATACTATTGTACCTTTTGACTACGATATGGACCCAGAACTAACTCTACACTATGATTGGTTTAACAAATAGCTTCTTTTTGTGTACACTCTAACTTCGTTTCTGGAATGTATATTTTGCACTTTTTGTATGTACAATAATGTTGATGTAGCAAATACTCATTAAATATTCCGAAATGATATTGAAAATTTTGAAACTTGGGTACAACTACATGATACATCTGTTGTGGGATGGGGATAAAAGGATGCATTGGATCTCCATCACGAACTCTGTGGAAAAACTCAGATACCATTCTTTTTACAAAAGCGGGTGTAATGAGAACTCTATAGGGGTTGCAATCTTTCAAAGCATTTTGGGTATTAGAAGCAATAAATGATTACACTGAAGAGTAGAAACTACTGATCTTTTATAGGAGATCATATAAGAATTGTCAGTGTTATTCATAACTAATCTTATACAAAACACAGAACATTTTATGCTGTAGAACAACATAAGCTCAAAGTAGTGGAACAATCCAACACACTCAAACAGATTGTGAAGTTTGAAGGTTTAGTGCGAAATTGGTCGATGTGGGTAAAGACTGAAGCAAGTAACGCAGCTTTGAATTTTTTCATAATTGTGTGAATAGTGCCTGTAGTCACTGACATTGGATGTATAAAAGATGAAGTA